GAGGGTATTGGTTCTGCCCCAGGGTCGCACAGCCTTAGTCCCATCCCCGACCTCCCCACCCGACCTCCTGGCCATAACGCTTTGATGATGCCACAGGCCACAGGCTCCTCAGTCCAAGTCCTGTACTACCCCCGCCCCCCTATAGTTAATAAGCAAATACCCTTGGAAAAGGGTTACACTTAGAGCTACGTCTAGTGTTTATAATCTGGTACTTGGTGTAAGTAAGGATATGAGCAGGATTGGAGAAGACATGGAACCCCAAGTGAAGGGAAAGAATAGAAAGTATAGTAATATAATGGAGATGGCATGTAATTGGGAATCAAGTCCTGGATTCAAGTTCTATCATTTGCTTCTGTGAAAAACATTAAAAGCTAACTTTGTAAATCCTGCCACCCTGATAAACATGCACACATGCAAACACTCGTTCCTCCATCTTTGCTTTTTTTCAAAATGTCACTAATGAAGATTTTTGTTTGCTTAACGTTTTATTTATTTTTAGAGAGAGGGGAAGGGAGGAAGAGAGGGAGAGAAACATCTATCAGTTGCCTCTTGGCACACCCCCGACTGAAGACCTGGCCAGCAACCTAGGCATGTGCCCTGACTGGGAATCGAACCAGTGGCCTTTCGACTCACAGACCGGCACTCAGTCCACTGAGCCACACCAGCCAGGGCTGCTTTTGTTTCTAAGGGTGATAGGTGTCACCTTTTCAGTCATTCAGCAAGCATTTATTGAGCACCTGCTCTGAGCCAAGCACTGCACTAGGTCCTGGAGAAACAGTGATGAGTAGAAAAAGCGAGAACTTCATAGAGACAGAACACTGAGCCCAGAGAAGAATGGGCAGGGGTTAGTGATGTGTTACAGACATGATGACTCGAGGTTCAGGGAATTAGTCCAGGTTAGGCTCTAGAGACTAGAATTCGATGGTGCCATTCCCTGAAGTGGCTACTACAGGAGGAAGTGCATTGTATGCGGGTTCTCTGACAAACACACACTGACACAAGCAAGCAATAAAGTGCACATTGAAGAATACTGGGCAGCTCACAGAACTGAAAGAACAGCCAGGCTGAAGAAGACAAGAGCCAGCCCACAATGCCTGTAGCAGGAATCTGGACTGATCCCCTAGGCAGCTGTCATTGGGAGACTTGGCTTTAACCAACGTGTGTCCCTGGGTCCTTTCCAGATCCAGATTCCCTGGAGAAAGAATCTTACTGGCCCAGTCAGAGGGGGAAACTTGTTAGCGTCTACAGTGAGAGACCGGTGGTGGTAAGGAGGGTGGATTACAAAGAAGTACAAGGAAGCTTAGGGGGTGATAGAAATGTTAATTTGGATTGTGATAATTTGCAGGGTATATGTATGTATCAATATCAAATTGTATGCTCTGTGTGCAGGTTTTGGGGTATCATACAAACTTTGGACACTAACAAGTTTGAGAACTTGCAGGACTTTCTGGTAGGTGTGTCTGTTAGGGAACTGGAAATACATGTTTGTATTTAGAAGTCATTTTCCTAAGATCTGAGCCTGCTACTCTTTCGTTGTATTTTAAAAACCTTCAGAGGATCTGTTTTGTAATGGAGAGGAGATTGCAAGCCTCCCTCTAAAAGGCCTACTGCCTGTAATTTAATACCTCTCCTAGAAGGTGTCCCACTCTTTTGCTGCTGGTAGCAATACTCCATGAGTATTGGAAGGGTGGGAGAAAGGCTTGGAATACAGGGCCCTAGCTCTCCCAGGCAAACCCCACCTCTCGCCCCGCCCCTGTGAGCTGCTAGGAATGCCCTGCCCATTCATCTGGCAAAGCCCAGGTCAGGCCTTTTCTCTGCAGGCTTTCACTGACCCTCAGCTCCTAGGAAATTAATTCTCTTTGGGGACTGTGCCAGAGAGAATTTCTAGGGACTTAGGCATCAAACTCATTTTCACTGATGGCCACATCAGCCTTGCGGTTGCCTTCAAAGGGCCAAATGTAATTTTAGGACTGTGTAAATGTAACTACTCCTTAACAGTTAAGTGAGAGCTCAGCACTGCTACCGGACAAAACAAGATGGAAGGCCGGATGTGGCCTGCTGACCTTGTGTTTGCCACCTGTGACTTAGGGTCTTGTGCAGGAAGACAGACACCCAAGGTAACTGCTCTAACAGGTACAACCAAGGTAGAAAATTGGACTAAACTGTGAAATGGACACTTCATTTGTCCACTGGCTCTACTGGAGGTTTCAGGAAGGCAGGAGAAAGGGCCAGCATGTTGGGTATGACAAGTAATGTGGCTTACCTAGGACAGACAGGCCCAGGTAGGAACCAAACTGTTTCCCATGATTTACAGAATGGTAAGTTTTCCAGAGGAAAAAGGCCAGGACATAGAAGACTTTCATCTTGGCAGCGACACAAGGAGGGGCCAAAAGCCAATAAAATTGAGTGGAGACCAGTATCTCTTTTCCCGCCTGAGGCCCCTGGTCTGTTGACAGAAGGATGACTGCCCCAGTTTCCGAGGTTTAGCGTTAGTCCCTGGAGGACACTGGTGGTTCACCTCGAGGGAACTTAGTTCCTCATCTGTTTGCATCTCTATGTAGAATTAATTGCAAGAACATCACCCAGTCCCTGCCTTCTAACAATCTGAAGGACAATACTGACAGACTAGGTGAAATATCCAGAATACGCTAGAAACATCCAGGATATCCAAGATACACCACAGAGCAGGGTACACACACTGCTTACAGTATCGTCTGCTAAGTTGGTGGACAGCATGTGTGTATTGGGTCCTATTTTTCTGCATTTTTACACTTTTAAAATGAAGGGTATGTGTCTACAGGGATGAAATCATGTACCAGCAAGACTTTGAAGGTTATAAGAGAAAAAAGATGCTTGTGAGAGACTATTAACTTTTAAAGTATGAAAGTAACATCGCAAATCAGTAGAGAGCCAATTCAACTGATGACCTCTGAGAGCCTGTGGTTCAATTTTCAACACATAAAGTATATGCTATGAGGGAGACCCAGCCACAATACAAGAGAAATTTCAACCTTTCCTGAAATTCAGGGTCAGCTTATCATTATCAGTAAATGCAGAAGCAATTGTCCACTTTTGGAATTTAACACTTAGGATTTGAATTTCCCTTTCTATTTTTTAATTTATTGATTTTAGAGAGAGGAGAAAGGAGAAACGAATTTTTTGTTCCACTTACCCATGCATTCATTGGTTGGTTCATTTTTTTAAATTATTTTTTATTGTCTTTTTTTTTCCAATACCATTTGTCTCCCTTATTCCCTCTTCCACCTTCACCCACCCCCTCTTCCCATTGGTTGATTCTTACATATGCCCTGAGCAGGGATCAAATCTACAGCCGTGGTGTATCCAGATCAGATGCTTTAACCAACTGAAATACTTTTTTCTTGAATATTCTTTTATCTGAATTACTGGCCCAGCTGATCTTTTCATTAACTTACGTAAGTCTTGCCCACATGTTACTTTGTCTTTCTTGCAGTGACTGTTTTCCCATACCTCAGCTTTTTCCTTTTTTCTAAGGATTTTGTTTGTTTTTCGTGAGGAAGTGAGGGAGAAAAAGGGAGAGAAACATTGATGTGAGAGAAACATCAATTCGTTGCCTCTCATATTCACCCTGACTGGGGACTGAACCCAGTCCCAGGCATATGCCCTGACCAGGAGTCCAGCTGGCAACCTTCCGCCTTGCGGGATAACACCCAAGCAACTGAGCCACACTGTCCAGGGTTGGGCTCTCACTTTCACTGATCACTGCTATGCCTTTAAAGACATATTGAAATAAAATGAATTTTATCAATGTATTGTCTTATCCTCGGTTTTACCAATCAAATCCCATTTTTAGGAATGAAAACAACTACCTTGCTATTTTATATCTCTGCCTTTTTCCTCACACTATGCCTCTTCTCTGAGACTTGGTCTTTCAGTCTCTGTCCCCCAAGTGCACATGCGCAATCCTTGTCTGTCTACCGATCTATATAAATACTGATTCCCAAAGCTAGAGAACTCTCTGCAGGAATCAGCACAGATGTCTATCTCTCAGCTGGAAGGCAGAATAACCACAGGAGTTCTAACCCCAAGTAGGAAGCCAGGATAACAACAGCTAGCAATTATTGAGCACTTACACTATGTACCAGGGAAGGTTCTAATGCTTTAGATCAGTGATTTCAACCGGTGTGCTGTGCGAGGCACACTGGTTTGCCACAAGAATTTTTAAAACATGCAGCAGTATCTGACCATTTAGGGGCACCGTTTCCCCCCTAGATTGCCAAATAAAAAATGACAACAAAAAAAGATACCTATTTTTTGTCAGATTGGCAAAAATATTTTTAATGTGCCACAGAATTTTAGTAATTTATGTGCCATGGGGTGAAAAAGGTTGAAAATCGCTCCTTTAGGTGTATTAACCCATTCCCTCCTCACAGCAACTCCATGAGCCAAGTGTCCCAATAAGAGGAATGAAGCAGAACTTGTCCAAGATCACACAGAGAAGATTCCAGAGCCTGTGTTTATACTATCCCATCCTTAGTCACTGAGTTCGTCATTAATTCAGTAGCATTTCCTGCCACAAACTGAGTCAATAGGTGGCTGACTGGTATTGATTAAATCGAGGTCCTTACCACGCGCAAAAGCCACGTCTGAAAAGAAATGGCTTTATAGGCATTATCCCTTTCAGTCCCCCATTTCAGGGATAAGGGTTCAGGTTTTAACGTTGTGAAGTAATGCGCCCGAAATCACACAGCCTTGTTGGGAATCACGCAGCTGCGAAGCTGGGACTATTTGAACCCAAAGTCCAAGCCTCTGCGCCACCTCAGATGGAGGTGGGACAGGGAAGATCCGGAGGGGGCGACATGCTCCTCGTCGCCTCCCGGCAGCCCGGCCCGCAGTGCACCACTAGGGTACCTTATGCTCCAAGTTTCTGGACTCAGACCTATTTAGTAAATGATATGCAAACGCAAGGAAGTAATTTTCCACATTCGTTGAAAATTCAAATAACTTCAAATAACGTCGATCAGAGGGAAAGCGGGCCCCGGGTTCACATCCCGTACCCCGCCCCATCCCAGCCCCGGAGCGAGGGAGGAAGCGGCTCCGGATGGAGGGTGAAGTGACAATCGGAGAAGGAAAAGCAGCCTTTCCTCCTGGGGGGACAGAGGCCGCCGGGCGAGCAGAGCGAACCTGCAGAGGGCGGTTTCTCTCCTCTTTTCCTGTCCCACCCATTCGGCCGGCCCGCCCACCCCCACTCGCTGGCCTCCGCAGCTAACTCTGCGCGTCTCTCCGCGGCTTCCTGCACTGGGCGCCCTTCGGTGGGTCTGCGCGAACCTCCACGGTTCCCGCCCCCCTCGAGTTCAAAAGGACTCGCTGGGTGGCGCCGGCCCTTCCGCGCCAGCCCGTCCGACTAGTAAGGTGAGCACGTGGAGGAGGGGAGCCGAGGAGGGCGGAGAGCCAGGCGAGCCCGAGCGCCCACACTCGCACTGCAGCCGCCCCGGCCCGGGAAGGAACTGAAATCGAGCGGGGCCGCAGCTCGGCCCTGGGCTGGAGCCTCCTGTCTCGGCTGCTGGGCTACCCCGAGTGCAGGTAACGCGGGAGGGCCCGCGCCGGGGCCAGGGCTGGGCCCGGGGGGCGGGGCCGCGGAGGGAGACCTGACGTTAGCGGAGGTGGACGGGGTCTCCTGACAGCGCCCGAGGCGGCCTCGGCCAAGTGGGGTTCGGCTCTAGTGGCCGGCTAATGGGGTTCAGTGGACTGTACGACGGCGCAGTGGACAATGAAGGGAAGACTAATGAAAGCGGGCCAAGCCAGGTGGACCGACTGTGTCAGGCCAGAAGGCGACCCCCACCTCCAGTTTCCTTTGCCTGGCTCATCCCCCACCTCCACCTTCACTGCAGGTCCCAACCCCCACGTGGCCCCCGAGCCTTGGCGCAGGTTCTGCGCAACAACCCCCACCCCCTCCTGACACGGAAGGGATGGCTCCGCCCAAACTTCAGGCTGTGAAAGAACTGGGTACCTGTTACCACGATTTGGCGAAACTGGGGCCGCTGTTAATTTGTATACCTTTGCCCAACTTACTCAGGCCTTGAGAAAGGTCTTAGGTAAATGTCGTGACCCAGTGAAAGGATGTCAGGGTAGAGCGTTCAGAGATGATGCACCCCGGCCACAGGTGGTCGTTTCTTAGCGCTGCTCTTCATGACTGCAGCCTGAAGAGATACTCAGGGAAACCAAACAAGGGTCTAGGACTAGCCCACAGGGGAAAGTGGGAATGGGGAAGAGACTCAGGAAAATCTGGCACCAAAGGCTTTTCTGGGATTTCTAGTTGTCTCCAGCCCCGGGCAGGGACCCAACCCACCTCTTACCTGTCTTTTTTCCCCTGCTTGCTACAGATCTGCTAGTGCCTCAAGGTGCCCATCTGCTTGCTGCAATGACTAGCTTCCCAACCACGCCTTCTCCAAGAGGTAGGTGCAGGCCTTTCCTAGTTGGAATGGTAGAGACTCGTTCCACATTCTCACCCCCAACCCAGTCTTGCAATTCCCTGAGGTCTCGGGCCAGATGAAAAGACCTTCCCACCTCTCTGGCAGCCTCACACCCAAATAGGTACTGGGAGGAAGCGGAAGGCAACTAGAGTGTGCACGTTAGTGTGCTTTGAAGCTAAGTCTCATGGATCTGTGCCGGTTCCTGGCACTGCCCCTTCAAGCCTTGTGACCCTGAGTGAGTTGTCTAACCTCTAAGCTCCAGTTTCCTCGTTTGTAGAGTAGGGGAAATAGTAGCTATCTTACAAGGTTTATCTGGGAGGATTAAATTCGACAACCTATATAAAACACCTAGTACAGTGTCTCATATCCAGTAAGCACTCACTAACGGTGGGGGTGGTGGTTATTAGTAGGTACTTGTTAGAAACCTCCCTACCTCTTCCTGGAAAGGAATTCTGCCTATTTTCTAAGTCCACACCTCTGGTGGTATACCCAAGCATCAAAAACCCACTGTTCCTGCCCTGACTGGTGTGGCTCAGTGAAGGGAGGACTGAGGGGAGCAGGCGTGGTCCTGTAAAGCAAAAGGTCGCTGGTTTGATTCCTGGTGAGGGCGAGTGTGGGAGGCCAGCCATCAGTTTTTCTCTCTCACATCAATGTTTCTTTCTCTCTCTCACCCTTCCTTCCCCTTTCTCTAAAATTAAATAAATAAAATCTTAAAAAAAAACGAAGCAAAACACTGTTCCTGGCAGTGGTCCATCTCTCATCACATTCAGAACGGATTTCCACCTTTCGTTTCAGATTCTTTTCATCATGTGCTAGTTCAGTTAAGGGAGGAACAAAAGCTTGATTGGTCTATACATCTTTGTTTTAATATACACAGTTTCGCTTGTCCTGAGGACAGACATTCTCTGTTTTACTGATGTGGATACAGGTGAAGGACTTCCCTTGGGGAAAGTCTAAGACCGTGTCCTATATGACTAGTGATGCACGCAATTCAGACTGTTAGTCGAAGGGTGGGAGATAAGAAAAGGGAGAAATGGGTAGAAGTTTACATTGGTCTGCAAAGGCTTCAGGAGTGGGGAAGGGGTAGAGCCCTTACCCTTAAAGGATGGATGATGAGGTGTGCACAGGCATGCAGGCAGCGCCCTGTGTGAAACTGCAGAGACTGCATCTACCCTGGGGGTTGTTCGGAAGGAGGGGGCAGAGGACCTCCCGAGTCAGCCCGCCCATAGGGAAAAGAGGTGAGGCTTCTGCAGCTCGCTGAGGAATTAGCACTGGAGCAAAAGGGGAACTGTTGACAGTTTTTTTCTTTTTTTTAATTTGTGGTAAAATATACGTAAGTGTTACCATTTTAACCACTTGTTGGTGTACAGATGAGTGATATTAAGTATTACACTCACAGTACCGTGCAGCCATCACTACCGGCCTCCTCCAGAGCTTTTTCATCAACCTCCCCCAGCTTTTGGTAAACACTGTTACGCTTCCTACGTGTGTCAATTTGACTAAGTACCTCATATGAGTGGGATCGTATAGTATCTGTCTTTTTGTGCCTTTTTTCTCTGAGCGTGACATCTCCAGGGTTCGTCCATGTTGTGGCATGTGTCACATTTTTTAAGGCTGGCTATATATACATACATGCATGTATGTATATAATTTTGTGTATAGTTATAAACTTACATATATATCATTTTGTTTATCCATTCACCCATGGATAGATATTTGAGTTGTTTCCATCTCTTAGCTATTTTGAATCCTACTGCAGTGAACATGGGCATACGGATCTCTCAGTTCCTGCTTTCCATTCTTTTGGGTGTACAGAAGTGCAACTGCTGGATCACATGGTAATTCTCTGTGTAATGTCGGAGGAACTGCCACTCTGTTTTCCTCAGCAGCCGCACCGTTTACATTCCTGCCAGAAGTGCGTAAGGGTTCCATTTTCTCTACATTCTCATTTTTTTTTATATAGTTGCTATCTTAATGGGCGGGAAGTGGTATCTCCTTGTGCTTTCCATTTATATTTCCTTAATTATTAGTGATGTTGAGCATCTGCGTATCTTCTTTAGAGAAATGACTATTCAAGTCCCTTGCCCAATTTTTAATCGGCTTGTTTCGTCATCGTTGTCGTTGTCGTTATTGTTGAGTTGTATATTTACATTCTTGACCCAACTAGTGATGTGCGTGATGTGCTATTTTAGGACGGATCATGCAGCCCCCTACCTACTGGCCCCAGCCAGTACAAGTTTAGAGACAGGAAGGGAGAAATCCCAGCAGGGTGAGGGCTGTTACTTTAAAGGATGCCGTCACTGAGTGTCTTGCACATCCCTGCCCCACCTCTCCGCCTGCCTCCCCTCACATCCTTTTCCTGGAAAGGTCTCCTGAAGGAGACGGCCTCTTGGGGTGTTGAAAGCGAGGGCCACGCTATGGCTTTCATGGGCCCTCGGCCCTTCTCCCTTTGTGGACTTGTTCCTCCATTAGAAAAGATAGATGTTGAACATTGTATTGTGCAGCTAGGTTGGTGTAAAGAAAAGTAGAGTATAATAAAATCATTAACAGTTGCATTTGTCATTCATCATCGATTGATAGTACATTATTACAATTTCCTCAGCCTAAACATTTGATTTCTCTTTGTGATTTTAAAGAGAGATTTACATCATTATAACTAAAATCGTCAAAAACCATTTTCATGGGCCCCTAGAAGTGTTGTTGACCCTAGGCACTGTGTCTGCTGGGCCTAGTGCGTAAGTCACCCCACTGGAAATTGAGGGAGTGGAACCCGGCAGTGTGGGCTCTGCCTGCCCATGTAAAGCCCCACCCTCGCCACCTGGTCATGCTAGCTACCTCCTAGGTTTTCCTCCCTCTGGATTAGACACAGAGTGTTTTTCACCTCACCTACTTTTCACCAGAACCCTGTGAGCAGGTTTTATTCTCATTGTACAGAAGCAAAAACTGAGATATAGGGAAGTTAAATTTTCAGACGGTAAGAAATTCTCCCAAGGTCATGTGGCTGATAGTGGTGGAGGCAGGATTTTGTGCCAAGTCTGATTTATTCCAGAGCCTGTGTTCTTTCTGTCATGGTACACTGCCCTCAAAGTGTCACGCCACCCCACTGGCTGGGGCACATAAAAGAGAAAGAAGGAGAAAGGAAGCAGAATTCCAGGGCGGGTTCCCATGGGAAAGAGATTGGGGGAGCCGCCCTGTGTCGGGCAGGTTGAGAGCAAATAAGTAGGTTGGCAGACTCAAGTGGCGAAGGATCTGATGCCTCGGTGATAAGAGATTAGGGGAACAAGGGCCACAAAGAACCCAACCCGTATCTGGGTTAACAAAAAAGGGAGGGAGGTGAGTGAGCAAAATAGATCTTGAAATTCATTTGCTGTCCGTTAGGATTTAGATGGAGCCTCAGATTGTGTGGTCCTCAGGCCCAGGCCCCCACCTGAGAAAAACAAAACAAAACTGGTGCTTCCAAGCCTGAGAAGGGAAGGAAGAAAGTAACATTATCATTTCTTCATTGGATAAGAGGTAGGAGAGACATGGGGTAGCAACAGGAGATGATGGGGGAAGAGCTGAAAGCTGCTCCCCTCCCCACCCCTTTACCCCAGGCTTTGCGAACTTTGCTTTCTCTGTTGTTGTTTTCATTGAAAAGCTATTCTGTGTCCTTTAGGGAAGAGCCTCCTAGACCTTCTCTCTCTCTATATATATAGATATATCTATATATATATAGAGAGAGAGAGATATATATATGCACTCACACATACACAGACATATACACGCATACATATGCTCTCTATGTGTACATGTTTATAATTTTATTTTAATTTACTTTTTTCACAAACATCTAATCATATTACACATACATTCCCAGCAATTTGCTTTTTTCGTCTAACCATAGGCCCTGTCCCAGTAACTGCAGATCTACCACATTCTTCTTAACGACTGTGTAGTGTTTCCAGAATGAATGGCCTGTAATTTGTTTAAGCATCCCTCTGCGCATGGACTTTCAGATACGCGTCACGCTTGCAAACAGACAGTACAGCAGTGGAACATCCTTTCCATCTGCAGTAAAGTTCGGAGAACCAAACCCAGTGGCCACGTAAACAAAAGTTTGGCTGGAGGCAGCGCAGGGTGTTTCCAGAACTTGGGCAGTGGTAGTGTGTGGCGCAGGGACCCTCGGAATGAAGAGACAGACTGGAGACCCGGCTCAGCCAACGGCTTGCCGAGCTGCCTCCGTCTCTTGACTTGTGCAGAATGAAATTACCAGTCCTGCTTCCATCACACTTTTGGGGTAGAGGTAAAATAGTGTTATGTTTTGTAAACTGTAAATCATGCTTACACATTGTAGTTCTGACACTGAAGGCTGAAGGGCACTAGCTCATCAGCTCTCAGGACCTTTAGTCTGAGAAAAGTGTTTCTGTGTGAGTTCAGAAATTTAATTTTTAAAAAGAAACATTTTATTTTGGAATAATTTTAGATGTATAGAGAAGTTGCAAAAAATAGTACAGAGAGCTCCCATATATGCTTCAGCCAGTTTCCCCTTAATGTCAGTGTCTTACATGATGATGGTACATTTGCAAATGAAGAAGAAATTAACATTGGTACAGTACTGTTAACTGCGGACTTCACTGAGATTCCCATAGTTGGAAACTGACTGTGAAGTGAGTTCTGATAGAACACGTTCCATTAATAAAAATTCCCACACCAAGGCTGGCACAGGTCCTGAGGGCCGGCTAGTTCAGCTGCCCACTCCGTGTTAGGACTCTCTCCAGTACCGGAAGCGTGTGTCTGCTCATGCTCTTGCTTCTGAGGCCAGAGTGTCTGCTCCCGCTAGTTCTGCCCTCTGTGCAGGTTATGCAGCGGCCTGTTTGAAGACGGCGTTCAAGGTCTAGGCTCCCCCCTAAGTTTTCTGTCTGGGCTTTCTCTCACAAGCTTCTCTTATCTGATATGGCCCCCAAACCAGTCACGTTGTTGGCTGCTTATGTCAGAACTGTGAC